AAAAAGTAATGAGTGTGTAGTTATATTTCAGGGTCTTGGTTTGTAGTGATGCTATTTTATCCCAACTTCCAGTCACACTGCAGGCTGCTCATTGCTTTTGAGAAATGAATCCATAAGTATCTTATTTTTTAAAAGCTAAATAATCCCTCAGAAAATGAGACAACAGAAAAATAACTCTTTGGGGACAGAATAGGGGCTGGTCTAAACCAAAGTTCACTGCTGTCCATGGCGGAGTTTTAGTGACTTCAAGATGCCTCAAGGCTGGCCCCTGAACACGAAGGATGGACACAGCTTCTTATGTCACTGAGTGTCCACGGTAGGAAGATGCAGCAGTGACAGCAGGCGTTTCAGCTTGCTTCCGAATACCTTGGGTTTTGGAAGGGGTGTTTTTCAATGATACCATAGCCTTGTTCTTTTAAAAGACAAGCTGTCTTCAGGATGGGCTAGCACCATTTATCATATCCATCTTGATGGGCATGACAAATTCACATATTCTCAGTTTTTGTTTAGTGAAGAATGTTCCTAGTATTAAGTTACAATCGGGAATCCTGAACACAACAAATTTATCCATAGAATGCTGTACAACTAAATGCCAAACAATGAAAAGAATAAAAATCCCCACTGCAATACATAATTCTCTCTTGCAAATAGCACGAGTTCAGGATCCAAGAACTAAGGTAGAAGGTTATTGATGCGTAATTCTATGCAGGAACTCAGTAATTGTGGGACACTATTTCTGGTTGGTTTGTGTTACATCAGTCTGATAGCAACTGCTTAACAAAGGAAGACTTCTGCTTATGCAAGTTATTAGGTTTTGTCTAAAGAATATATTGCTTCCTCTCTATTGCTCTGAGTTTACTTCGCAGTTTATAGTATCCGCAACATGGAATATTTTATTGCTAAAAACGTATTTCCCCTTATTGCTGAAATTTTACTGTTAGGAGAAATGGTTTAAGAGAAAAAAAGACAATTAAAAAAAAAAATCCTCTCCCAAGACTTGAGGATGAATATATGAAAAAATTGACTACAGTACATTTTGCCCATTAAGATACAACCTGTTGTTACTAACTTTGTGTCAAGTGGTTTTAATAAATAAAAATGAACAATTCTTTAAACTAAAATACACAGTAAGAAAAAGGTACTTTGTCATTACAATGAAGACATGAAAAATACTTTACTGTACATAGAATGGTGAATCTAACACCTGGCCTTCGCACAGGTGTTGTTTGATGGGAAAACAAAATGATAGAATCCTGAAAGCTGGCTGGGTTTCTGCCAGTTTCAGAGGAATCTTGGGTGGATACTGGCACCTCACCATGCAGAACCAGGGCTTCCACTGTAACTTTGAGGTGATAGCAGAGAATTGCTTAATGCCGCAGGGTCTGAAAAGTGGCTGTCTGTCAAGCGTTTCTTTTGTGCAAGTGAGGTAGGCAGTTTTGTACCCACAGCTCTACCCCTACGTCCTAGAGTTCATTCAGAGGTGTGTTATATAGCTTCTATACAGTACTGTCTGACAGCTGTGGGCACGCCTATGTCATTGACTTCCAGTAGGATTTTCTGGCCTATGCTGCACAGTCTCAATTTAAGAACATATTTCTGGAAGAGGCAGCATCCTCAATGGAGGTCACAGCAGTAACTTGGGAGGCATAATCATGTTTCTCATCTGTCTGTGGTAAAAGATAACCATGTGCTCCTCCTCAAACGAGGGCAAATCACATCCCTATGAGCTAGCTTTGTGGGACTTCATAATTAATTCTTCTTCCCTCCATTTGACTTACGCTGCTCCTCAGGAGAGGAGCTTCCAATTACAAATCTCTCTGCTCTGGCACAAGGAAAAGGTCGGCTCCCCCAGCACTCTGGAGAGCCTCTGTGGAGTTCAGCAGCCTGTGGAACGAGGAAGATGACAACGACACTAGGTGAATCACCACAAGAAGAGGGAACAACATTATCTCCCCCTGTGCTGTTTTCTCCTGGCTTCCCTACCACCCGGGTGTTGTGGGGAAAAAAACACTAGTGCCTGTGAGGTTATCCAAGAGGATAAGAACAGGTCTGCATAAGCAAAACAACAGTTGTCCTCATGATTGAATTTTGGTCACAGTTGTAGTTGCTCATCTTCATGACACTTTTTAGCAACTTGATACAGACAAACAAATGAGGAAAAAAAAAAAAGAGGGGGGAAAAACTTTGCATTACTTTAACTTATTTTTTGCTTTTAAAAGTGCCATTCTACATTATTCAGCCTCTGTACATTATGCAGCTCATGACTTTTACTGCCATTTATTCCCAATACTTTGCACACTTGCAAAACTGCAGGCATACATTGCATGGATATTTATGAAGTGATTATTTCTTATACAAAAATTCCTAACAAAATGCAATGACTAGAGTTTCATTAGCATTCAGAAGTAGATAAAGAACACCAATATCCTATGCCGAGCAGGGGCCATAGTCTAACTGTGCTGAGCATCTGTAAATAGCGGTGAAGCCAAGGGAGCTGCAAGTTCACAGCTCTACTGGACCATGCCATGCAATTATTAAACTAATCACATTACAAAGTAAGAGCCAAATATCATGAAGGTTGAACCAAGTAAATAATGGAAGTTGAACCCAGCATTGCAACTAAAATTAATTATTGCTCATAAAAATCTCTACAGAGCCTTGTTTACAGACAACTCATTCACATTTGAGATTCGGCTTTGTGTATAGCATATGATTCTTAACGTCACAGCAACTTTGCCACAAAAAGCTACAGTCATCCAAACGTCCATGTGAAAAGGTCAGATTTCATTTGGAGAAATCCAGACCAGCAACACAGTTGTCTCTACTATCTATACTATACAGGTATATTTTTTCATTCAACTGTAAATATTGCTATTTTTACACTTTAGTTTGTTGGGGTTTTTTTAAACTGTAATGTAAGATACTGAAGCAACAATAGAGTATGCTGACTTTGACATTCAAGGGAATATAACCTCCTACTGATGCCAGGGCATTAACACATTGAGCTCCCATCAACACTAATGGAAGTGGCACTATGAACTCCCATGCACTGACATTAGGGTACACCTTAAGTTCACGAAGACATCTGCCAGGAAGATCTTTCTCTCTGACAATCAAGTCTTCAAATTAGAAAACAATGTTTTATTTCTAGTGCATTCTAATGCGGCTTCGGTAAAAGGTTAGCAGCAGTTTGAAATGTAGCCATTCATGAGAGGAAGCTCTGCTTTTTAGACCAGAACTATCACCCTGTAATGAAGTGAGCTGACGTGTACAGTGTGAAGAATCACAATCTATAATGGATTAAACTGTCAGAAAAGGAGAAAATATTGTTTCATGTTGCAGTTCTGGTTGCATACAATTGTGAACCAGCTCTGAGAATTTATAAACATCAGTATTTTAAATGATATTGCAGAACGATGAAAACAGGTGGTAATAGCTTTGGCTTGATAACAAACAAGGGGAACCATTTCATGAAGATGCTAAATATGTGTTGTGAGCAAAAGTTTGTAGGTTATTTTGTTAGATATTTTCTTATACACTTCTAAAAAGATAAACTTGTCTGAGAAACTTAGTGTTGCATCTATTCCAAATGCACAGCCAAATGAGGCCATATTGTTTCATCAATTTGAAAATCCCCCCTGAATTCCTTTTAAAATAGTATAATGAGATTTGATGTCCCATATCTAAGTGAAAACATATGGCTGACTTTTGAAAAGGAAGGCAAAGCATATCATCTGTTTTAACATCCGGCCAGAACTCAGGAGAGAACAGGTAACCCTTTAAAACAATTATCAAGCTAATTCATGCCGAGATGTAAAGTAAAAAGCTATACAAGCATTTCCTCACTGAGAGCAAATTTGTTGCACTGAGATTATTACAGCAAATACCATATAAATCAGTACAATTGGCCATTATTTTGAGAGTATTCTGATGATATACCAATGGGGTAACAGGACTCACGGTTTCTTTTCTGTTTTAAAAAGAATTAGAGGGGGAAAACATATCCTGTCAACAGACTGTAACATGCAGTATGACTGAACTCAATCATATAAACAGTTTCAAAGGAGGTATGCTGTTTTAATTTAATTTTAATTAGCAAAATTAATGCAAAATCATGGCAAACATGGCAAAGTCTGGGTAATATAACAAAAAGACCCTGAGCAACATTATAAATCTGTAAGAACACTGATTATTTTGATTTTGGAAATCTCCCTTAAACCACTTGATTCATTTTGGTCACTGGGGTTTTCTGTTTACAAAAAGGTCAGTGCATCCTGTGGTTTTTATATGAACCCATCACACACCATTTAATGAATGCATCTAAACCAAAGACAGCATCACAAGAATGTCTGGAAAGTAACATGTTAAGGAGCATCCTCCTAGCTGCCAATCAGACATCACTGGGTGATCTTGCTCTCTGAGACAGGTTAGAAGGGATACAGCCACAACAGATGAGCCAAAGTGCCTTCTGTATCTCCTGGTTTCTGAAAGCATATATTACAGGATTGATGATGGAATTGTAGGTAGCTGGCAGGAGGGTGGCATAGGTGTATATAGAAGGATAGGTGTAATCTGCTATCAAAGAATAGAGCGTAAAAGGCATCCAGCAAGCAGCAAAAGTCCCCAAAATAATGGCCAAAGTAGACACTCCTTTTCGGGTGGTCACATAGTGGGAAGTGGCCAGGAAATGGTGTTGCAAGGCAATCTGATGGGCATGGCGCATCACGATTTTACAGATTTGAATGTAGAGCTGCAGCATGAGGGCAAACATAAGCAAGAAAGAGACCGAAAGGACAGCTGCATTATTTTTAGTGAGTGGTCTGATAACACTGCAGGTGGATTCATCTCTGAGGCAGTTCCAGCCCATTACAGGCAGCAGTCCAATACAGATAGATGCTCCCCAGAGCAATATAAGCATGACATAGGTAAAAGTGACAGTTCTCTCTGAATTGTAAGTCAAAGCGTAATACAGGGAGAGGTAACGATCAACAGTAATAGCCAGCAAGCTGCCAACAGATGCTGAGAAAGAGGCAACAATCAGTCCAATCGTAACCAGTTTCGTAGCTTCTGATTGCAGAAGGTATGCAAAAACAAAATTGATGATCAATCCAATGCCCGCTAAGAGATCTGCCAGCGCCAGGCTGCCTATCAGGAGGAACATGGGGGCACGAAGACTGGGATTATGGAAAATGATAAGGACCACAATGGCATTTTCGCAGGAGATAAGGGTCCCTGAAGTACACAACACAATGTCCCAGGGGTTTACCAAAAGCTCTGGCTCTGGGTCTACGACAGGAACCAGGGAGGAGCCTGCAGCTGAGGCATTCTCGGTAGAGCTGGCTTCTACATGATCCTGAGGCAGCCAGCTCAAATTAACCTTCAGATCTTCATTCATTTTAACCCCTGTCTTCTTCAACGGAAAGACATTTTTTTTAATATTCAGACACAGCACCGGTTACAGCATTCCCAGAGCATGCAGCGCCCTAGACAGCAACACCGATCTAATATGTGCAGGCAAACACTTGTTACATAAATGTGACAATAAAAAACAAAAATAAAAACACTGGGGGAAAAATACTTAAAACTGCCCGAGATTATCTGCTAAGGGACTGACACACGGAAGCGGAGTGATCCTAACGGTAATTCCCTTCACCTGCATAGGGAAGAAGGCACAGGCGCGGGAGGGAGCCCATGAAACGGCTAACAC